GGGGGGGGGGGGCAGGGGTCCATAATCCCATACTAGGAAATGAACCTTGTAAAACTGTCTTTTTTTAATTGTTAGAGGGCAGGTCAAAGAAGTGTTATTTAGAACATACTTTTCGTCTCTTTCTTGAACTTCTTCTATGAGTGACCTTTAATTTTTACTAATATTATTAATCTTAAACCTGTAAACTAGTTAGAATTTAACATTTTTTTATAATTGTATTTAATAGATAAATAAGAAGTAACTAAATTAAATGATTGTTTAGAGAAGAGATGACGAGCAAAGACTATTATTTTGACTCCTACGCTCACTTTGGTATTCATGAAGAGATGCTCAAAGATGAGGTAATCCAATATTAATCAATAATCGAAAGAAATGCGCGTTTTATTTTTCTCATATGCCTAATTGTTGCATGTCAAATCTTCTTAATAGTTACAAATAAATTCAAACTATTTTGTCATTTTGTGAGTTTTAATTAAAGCAGGACCATGATTGTTGTTTACAATATCTTAGTTTGGGATTTCAGAAAGTTTTTCTAACTAGCCTAATAACTGTTGATAGAAAGATTATTTTTTAAACAAATCTAACTTGATACTAATTTTAGGTGCGAACCTTGACCTACAGGAATTCTATCTGGCATAACAACCATCTCTTTAAGGTATTTTATGTTTGAAAGATGTCTGGGGTTTATATTTTATTTGTTATGCACATGGGGGGGGGGGGTGAACATATTTAGGCAAGTTTTTTCACTCTTTTGATACTTGAAACCATAGCATATTTATTCTTTTCTCTAATTCAGCGCTCACAAACTTCAAAAAACCAGCTTAATATATGGTAGTGCAGTGCTTAGGATCCATTTAATTTTGATGCGGATCCGGATCTTGGATCCGCACTGTAAAAAAATAGATCCGGATTCAGGCCATTTCTTTCAGATTTACTGAATTTTTTTTACAAAAAAATAATTTTAAAATTTTTTTGTATTAATTTTTCGCTTCTTTACTCTAAAACTTGATAAACCATTCAGAAATGAGGAAATTTTTATAATCTCTCTTTTTTCAAAAATTCAAAAATGGGGTTTAGGAGTAACAAGGTTTTTTTTTAAGTGTTTGGTTGATATTTTACCCCTTGGATCCGGATCCGTGGATCCGCAAAAATATGTGGGAAATAGTTTTTAACCAAATCTACATCTAAACCTAAAAATTTGATTTATAGCCCCCAGAAGATTGTTTTCTACAATTCAGGGATAAAATATTAAAAAAAAGGGCTATCAGGGTAAAAGTGATTTTTAGATTTAAAAGCAAAAGCGATTTATGTTTGAGAATATTTTGATATGCTCTGAGGAAAATTTTTTAGTAGCAAGCGCGTTTACAGGGGGGCGGGCAGAAGTCCTCTTGCCCCCCCCCCCGGGGCATCCCTCCCACTGGGATGTATGGGCAAAGGTTAAAAGCAGGTGTGAAGGGTAAAAATGTTTGGAATGTCTTCCTGGTTATAGCTGTATGCATCATGCACGTGTTTGGCATGTCTTCCTGCAACCCCTATGAAGGTCAGGGGGATATTACACTAAGAGAGGAGGGTTAGATGGCTGGACTAATGATAGTCTTGAGAAGACTACTCAGGACTCCAGAGAGTAATACAGAACAATACAGAGGGATACACTATAGTCCTTAAATACAGAACTATACAGAGGGATACATTATAGTCCTTAAATACAGAACTATACAGAGGGATACATTATAGTCCTTAAATCGGGACTACAATGGGTTACATAAGAGACATGTAATAGACTTATTTTAAAATCCTGTATCCGCGCCTGCTAAGTAGACAAGCTTATTTTACCCTTTTTGATACTTAAATCCAAAACATCATTTAGATCTTTTAAGTCTCAATTATTTCTCCAAAAGCTTAAAAAACCAAATATGAGGGAATTTTTTTTCTACGTGGGGGGGGGGGATTTTCTAGGAAAAATCTCAATTAAATCCAAAGAATTGACATATCGCCCCCAAAAAATAAGTTTCCTCAATATGCAATAAAGTGGTAAAAGACCCTCAAAAAAACTAATTTTGGAAGAAATGTGAGGAAGGAATAATTAAACCAATTACAAAACACAGGGATATATACATTAAATATTAAAGAATTAACGAACCCCCCCGGGGAGGGGGGATTTTTAATGTTTAAGGGGAAAAATAGGAAGAAATGAGCCTCTAAGGCTCCGCTGACACTTATCTTTATCCGGAAGGAAAATTTTTTTTCAACGGGGGGGGGGTCGGTTTTCTCAAGAAATAAAATACCTCTGATAAAACATTTTTACATTGTAATTTATTACTTGGATCCGGATTTTCTCTTTGGATCCGGGATCCGCTTCAAAATGGGCACTGCCTGGAATCTTTAAAAAGACTGAAGAAATATTTTTGCGTTAAACTGTAAAGTTATGAATGTCCTATTTAAAAGCGGTAAGCTCTGAACTTTAATCTTGGAGCAAAATTGATATAGATTCTTAGAAGTCCATATTAAAATTTATAATTTTTAATTATGGTTTCTATACACAATTAACTGTCAGATTACACAATTAATTGTCAGACTACACAATTAATTGTCTATTCAAGCAGCAGAGAATAAAAAGAAATTTTCAGGATTCAACTCCTTTCAACAATATTTATTGGACATACCACTCAAGAAATGAAAACTGAAACTCATTTGAGATTACATCAACACTACTTTCAAATCGTAAAAAATATGTGTCTAGGACAAAGTTGTGCTAGATGTTGGATGTGGAACTGGTATCCTCTCCATGTTTGCCGCCAAGGCCGGCGCCGCCAAGGTCATCGGTGTCGACATGTCCGGGATAGTCGAGTCCGCCAAGAAGATTGTGGAGGCGAACAATTTATCTGACACGGTTCACATCATCAGGGGGAAAATAGAAGAGATCAGTTTACCCGAGGGAATCGACAAGGTGAGCACCCTGGACTAAACACGGCGAGATACATTCGGTTTCTTCTTTTTGTATTCAATAATGTTTTGGTCTATAATTCAACAATCTTAAACTTAAGGTCAAGGAGTTTCTTTGTAATATCTTTTAAACGTGTATGCCGACAAAAAAAAGTATGAAAGAGTAACAGGAAAAAGTTTATGTTTTGTAGGTAAAATTTTGATTGAGAGTCACAGCTTGTTGTGATAAGGACCGAACTGTTAAATCTCTTAAGAAAATATTCTTATTTTTTCTTAGTGGGGTGGGAAGCGTCTTTAATAGCCAGCACCTAAAGTTATCTTAAGCATTAGCTGTACGTTAATGGAGATCGATTTTGGGAATTCCACTTGCTTCCCTCAGAATAGCATTCATATTAAATATTAAAACGTCTTTGAGAAAAGACGTTTATGTCTCGTTAACGAAACCCGGTTTTTATAACGATTAAATTTGACTAATGAAAGCGAAAACATTTGTTCGTCAAAATATGACTTCATGGATATCGAAAGATCCGTTTTGGAATACAGAATTTAAAAACGTTGTAATCGTACAAATAAGATCATAAGACCATAAATAAAAAAAGTTAATAGCCAAAAACGGTTAAGGACGGAAATTTTGTCAAGAGTCCAAAACGATCCCGTCTTTAGGCATTAACTCGACCAATTTTTAAATATCGGTTATTTTAAAAAAAAAATCGGAATAAGTGGCTTCCGGTGGATCCTAAGATACACATATAAGCATGTACTGCAAAAAAAATAGTTTTATACCTGATTTTATAAATATTTTTTGTACGTGTTCTGCAATTTACAAACAGTGTAAGCTAATCCTTTCATATTTTATCCTCGACCTTTATGGGCTTTACACACATCCATAATACAAAGTTATCTGGTTTCAATTCTTCAGAGTTAGATATTAATTTCCTTTTGTATAACAACATTACCGCGTGACCATATTAATGTTTGCAATTTTTCCTTCAGCTGGAAACTAAAGACGAGTATCACTAAACTAATCTTGTTGTCTGCAGTACAGACAATCTTGTTGTCTGCAGTACAGACAATCTTGTTGTCTGCAGTACAGACAATCTTGTTGTCTGCAGTACAGATGTCTGCAGTACTGACAATCTTGTTGTCTGCAGTACAGCCAATCTTGTTGTCTGCAGTACAGACAATCCTGTTGTCTGCAGTACAGTCAATCTTGTTGTCTGCAGTACAGACAATCTTGTTGTCTGCAGTACAGACAATCCTGTTTTCTGCAGTACTGACAATCTTGTTGTCTGCAGTACAGACAATCTTGTTGTCTGCAGTACTGACAATCTTGTTGTCTGCAGTACTGACAATCCTGTTGTCTGCAGTACAGAAAATCTTGTTGTCTGTACTCGCTTGTAGGTAATTTAAGAAATGAGAAGAAGTCTGTAAAAAGAGTGTTCTCTTCTTGTTTGCCAACTTTTGTATGCATAACTTTGCAAATTTTTGTTAAACAATATTTTTTACAGTATACTTGAATATACTGCGAAGCAGATCTACTACTTTAATGATCAGGCGTCCACTTCAGGATTAATTGTTATCTTTCATTTTTAACTTATCTCATTAATTTTATGGAAGTTATCTCTAAATAAATGATATTATCTTATGTCCAATTATAAATATCCAGAATAATGTTAATTGATTTTTGACTTCAAAGTCGATTTTGAACTTAGAAGTAGTTTGCCTAAAGCCATAGACCTGTAATTTTTGTGTGATAGCTTTCATATTTACCAGTTACCTATAATGAGTTATGCAAGCTAATCCTGAGGTATGCGACGACTTTTAAGTCATCATTCAATTTATATTATTCCGGGTTATTTAGAATAGGACTGTATGTTTAAGGTTGATATTAATATCTCTCAATGGATGTTATCTATGTTAAAGATTGATATTATCTCTCAATGGATGTTATCTATGTTAAAGATTGATATTATCTCTCAATGGATGTTATCTATGTTAAAGATTGATATTATCTCTCAATGGATGTTATCTATGTTAAAGATTGATATTATCTCTCAATGGATGTTATCTATGTTAAAGATTGATATTATCTCTCAATGGATGTTATCTATGTTAAAGATTGATATTGTCTCTCAATGGATGTTATCTATGTTAAAGATTGATATTATCTCTCAATGGATGTTATCTATGTTTAAGGTTGATAATATTATCTCTGACTTAATGTTTTCTATGTTTAAGGTTGATATTATTATCTCTGAATGGATGGGATACTGTCTCTTTTATGAATCTATGTTGGATTCTGTTCTCTTTGCAAGGTAACTTTTTGTTTAATCTCAATGAAAATAATTTTCGAAAAAAATTAAATGACACCTCTTTGACCTCTTTCACCTCTTTCACACTTTTCTAAATTATACTCAAGTAAAGAAGAAACATTTACGAGCAAAATCCGAATCTTTGACTGGATTGAAAACGCTTCTCGAAGTAGGCCAACTGTCTTGGTCACTTAAACGCTATCGATCGAATTGATTGATATATTAAAACCTTGATTGATTGATGTGATGCACTGGTTGATTTATGTATTGATTGATATATTAAAACCTTGATTGATTGATGCGATGTACTGGTTGATTTATGTATTGATTATATATTAAAACCTTGATTGATTGATGCGATGCACTGGTTGATTTATGTAATGATTGATTGATGCGATGCACTGGTTGATTTATACATTGATTATATATTAAAACCTTGATTGATTGATGCGATGCACTGGTTGATTTATGCATTGATTGATATATTAAAACCTTGATTGATTGATGCGATGCACTGGTTGATTTATGTATTTATTATATATTAAAACCTTGATTGATTAATGCGATGCACTGGTTGATTTATACATTGATTATATATTAAAACCTTGATTGATTGATGCTATGCTCTGGTTGATTTATGCATTGATTATATATTAAAACCTTGTATTGATTGATTGATGGATTGATCGAGTGTTACATTGATCACTTAATCCAGAGATAAATGGCTAAGCCCTGATGGTCTCATGTTCCCCGACAAAGCTACTCTATGGGTCACAGCTATTGAAGATAGACAATATAAGGTTGGGATATATTATTACTACGACACTATGTTTGCCCTCGCTTCTAAACAAAAATTTCGATTATTAATAACTCTCCGATCCCCTGGTCCCAAAAATAAAAATCACTCAATTCCGCGCAAAAATATACGAGGATTATTTTCTAAAAAAATATTATTTCATTGCATTATTCTCATTGTTCGTTTAATGCATTTTGTTCCATTTTTATTAAAACTTTTTTGTTGTCAAAATATATAAAATTGAACCAAAATTATCTAGGATGACAAGATCAACTGGTGGGACGACGTGTACGGATTTAACATGTCCGCCATCAGGAAGGTTGCCATCACTGAACCCCTCGTGGACATTGTTGACAGGTTCAAACATTTAGAAAAATATTTTATTAGGACTAGACATAATTTCTAAGTGACTTTCCCGTGCAAGAAAGGAGCATCCGATTCGATGATGATAAAAAATGCACCCAATATAAATTATCATTTCTTTGGAAGCTGATTAATTTCTATCGTGGTTTCTACATAACGTTAAATGTGTATTACTGAGCTTCAAAAACAACATTAAGTACATTTGTCTAAGGGGGGGGAGGGCATAAGTCGTATTACTCTCCGGAAATTTAAACAGTGGTTAAACATAACTTAGCATTGTCGTAGGACGCTGATTTTTCGCATGCGAACTCACTAATATGTATTGTAACTGAAAAATGCAATTTCAAATAGATCGGAGCAAATATGCGCGCGTTTTTTGTTTAAAAAAAAATACAACTTTTCACATTTTCCCAAGCTTTTCACCGTTAAATGAACTTGAAATTGCATCAGGACGCAATTAAACAAGATATTTCGGAAAAGTTTGCGCCTTAGACCCTCAAGTCCCCACGCGCGCGCGCAATTAAGATAAAATATTAATAAATATATTTTAATTCAATTTATTGAATGTGATTAATTTTATGTAAGGTAGTTGAACTGAGTATGCAGTGTTGAGGAAAAATTCTTTAGGATTCATTTTAGACACATAAAACTTTTTAGCGTTTGAGCGCAAAGTCCACGTTCAAAATCGTACTTTTGGGTGGATACGTTTTCAGAATTGTTTTTATTTTAATTATTAAATAACGACGACAAAAAATGGAAACAAAATTCTACAGTACACTAATAAGTTGTTAAGGAAAAGGTTGAGAAATTAAAAATTAATCTTATCATCGAAAATACGTAATCTTGTTCAATTATTAGTTTATGTTTTCTAATTATTCACAAAGATTTTTTGCAGATTTTCTGGAATCATTTTAAAGACGACATTCGAAGAATTTATAGAAATCTGCGAATAAATTAATAGAAAATAAGAAATTCAATAAAATGATGAAAACGAAATAATTGATTCTAGCATTGGTTTATTGACAAATTTCTTTTGAGGAATATGTTCCTAGTCATCTAATTAGTTTACTGTTAAATTTTTACTTTTTTCGTCGTCATGACCTTAAAATTTAAAACCCCCGATTTTGAAAACGTACCCACCCAAATTCACAGTGCTTAGAATCCATTTAATTTTGATGCGGATCCGGATCCTGGATTCGCACTGGAAAACAATGGATCCGGGTCGGTCATTTCATTAAGATTTATTGGATTTTTTTAACAAAAAATATTTTTTAAATTTTTTGTTTTATTTTTTTTCGCTTGTTTTTTTCCTAAAACTTGATGAAACATAAGCTATCTTTTTTTCAAAAGTTCAGATTTGGGTTTTAGGATCAAAAAAGTTTTTTTTGCAGTTTTTGATATTGATATTTTACCCCTCCGATCCGGATCCGTGGATCCGCATATCCGGATCCGTGGATCCGCATAACCGGATCCGTGGATCCGCATAACCGGATCCGTGGATCCTCATATTTTTGCGGATCCGGATCCAGATCCAGGGAGCCAAAATCTTGCGGATTCAACGGATCCGGATCTAAGCACTGGAAATTCATTATTTTAAACTTCGACTATAGACTCAAATTCAGTAAATATACATCGTGGAAAGGTTTTATATGTCTCAACTGAATCCTAAAGAATTTTTCCACAACAATGCATACTCAGTTTAACTACCTTACATAGCCGGTCTGTCCCTTTAATGAAAAGTCACCCTAAAACTATAACAAGCTCTTTTTTAGAGGTTCGAATTTTTAATTATTGAAAATTTTATAATGGTCTGTAATTTTTTAGCTTGTAGCTCGACTATATTGATTTTGTTTAAAATTGGAAAGAAGTTAAAATATTGAATTGTCTCGCAAACTTACCGATCAGTTGATACAAATTCAAATATTCCGATAAGATTATATCTTGGAAAATATAGTGTTTTTTTTTAAATCTAAAAGTGAATATTAATAATAATGTTTATCTTTTCAGAGTATAAGATTTTATAGTTTCAAGCTATCTTATATATAAAGAAGGGTATATACACCTCATATCGAGTATTTCTTTTAAAAATTTGAATTTTTTAACCACTTTTTATAGAGTCAATAAAAATGGTAAATCGGTATTGTATACTAGAATTTTTTTTTATCAAAAATCGTATTTTTTTAATCAAAATTCCACGGGCAACGCCGGTCACTTAGGTTAGTATTTTATATTTATCTCCTGCGTTACTGATGGCTTTAGGCAAAGTTGTTAATCGGATGTCCACTTTTTTTACTCTACACTCCCTTGGATCGAAATGTAGTTTGTGCAGAAATGAGTTTTTTTGACCCTTACTGAGGAGCTAGGGGGGGATCTGACTTGAATGGAATGTTGGCTTAAACTCTGTTTAATGTGGGCATATGCTCAATTCACAACTGTGCCCTTTAAAACTTTGTCTAAGCAAAATTTTCAATCTGAAAACTGATATTTTTGAATTTAATATATAAATAACTTTTGCGGATTTATATGCAATAGAAACAAGGCGGGCAATAAAAAAATTTATCTTGCATAGTACAATAGTACAATAGTACATAGTACAAAAAATTTATAATATAACAACGACAATACAGATGAGGTTTTATGGGTATCGTTGTGAACTGGAGGGTCAACACTGGGTGTCTGATAGACATGATCATGTTCAGGAACCAGGTTGTGACCAACGCCTGCCTGGTCAAGGAGATAGATATCCAGACAATGAAGAAGGAAGATATTCCCTTCGATGCTCCGTTCAGTATCACAGTCAAGCGCAACGACTACATTCAGGTTAGAAAGTTCACAGTGGTTTTTTTAATTAATAATTAATAGATCTTTCAAAAGCCGAATTTTTTAACTTTTTTAGGTACTTTTTACAGAAGAAAAATTGATTTTCCCTTAAAAATCATTGATTTTCCCGTAAAAATCATTGATTTTCCCAAAATCATTGATTTTCCCGTAAAAATCATTGATTTTCCCTGAAAAATCATTGATTTTCCCGTAAAAATCATTGATTTTCCCTTAAAAATCATTGATTTTCCCGTAAAAATCATTGATTTTCCTCAATTAAAGCAAATAAAACTCTGAAGAAAAAATGTGCATATGGCGCAGGCATATATATTTTCTGGGGAAAATTAATGATTTTTTAAAATGCGGTGAAGAAAGATTATTTTTCAAGAAGATAAAAACACCTGAATGTTCATTTCAATTCTAAGAGTCAGTCTGGAAACCCAGATTCAACCCAGATTTAAGAGTTTGTTAACCAGTTTTAAGTGTAGGGGTAATAGTCTGGACCTAGATTTTGGAGTCTGTAACAGATTTTGGAGTCTTGCAGCGGTATATAAAAATTCAAAGAAGGGAAAAGGAAGGAAAAAGGGAAGGGGAAATAAATTGGCCAAGACAGGAAAAGGGGAAGGGTAACAACAGAAGAAAGGGATGAGTGGGGAGGGATCCGGAAGGGGGAAAGTTAGAGATGGAAGTTGACAGCATGGAAAGGAGATAGGTAGGGAGGGAATAGGGAAAAGTAGGGAATGGGAAGGTCGGGAGGGAAAGGGGAAGATGGTGAGGGAAATTGGATGGTTGAGTGGGAAAGACAAACATAGGGAGAGAACTTGAGAGTAAAACACCCCCTATTAAAATGATGGGAAATGATTTAAAAGAAAAAATAAATACTCCTGAACTGACAAATAATCAATCAACACTTCTTTGCCAGTACCACCATACCAAAAGTTAAAAAGAATTTTCTGCGGCGCCATCTATGCAAAATGCATCAATATGCACTTCGGTATAAATCTTAAAAAATTATGTCTTTTTAGTTATCGAATTTGGGGATGGAAATCAAAAAAAAATCAGAGGGGGGGAAGAATCAGAAAATTGGAATTTTGGAGTCTTAAAAACAGATTTTGGAGTCTGGAGAACAGATTCTAGAGTTTGGAAATCAGTGTAAATGTAGGAATACCAGATTTCAAATATTTTTACTTAATCATTGGGAGAGTAATTGTTTGAAGTGTTAGAATAATATCATTGGAAGAGTAATTGTTTGAAGTGTTAGAATAATATCATTGGGAGAGTAATTGTTTGAAGTGTTAGAATAATATCATTGGGAGAGTAATTGTTTGAAGTGTTAGAATAATATCATTGGGAGAGTAATTGTTTGAAGTGTTAGAATAATATCATTGGAGAGTAATTGTTTGAAGTGTTAGAATAATATCATTGGGAGAGTAATTGTTTGAAGTGTTAGAATAATTTGGGAGAGTAATTGTTTGAAGTGTTAGAATAGTATACCCACACAATGTTAGTCATGAATAATAACGTGCTTTCTTATTTTAAACTCTTCTAACGTACTTTGTTTCAGGCTCTGGTCACTTACTTCGATGTGGAATTTAGCCATTGTCACAAGAAAATAGGTAAAATTAATATTCATAGTAGTTTCTGTTATTCATCAATTCCTAAGAGGAATAAAATTACTATTTTAGCATCTAGTATACAGTTAATCATTTTAAAGTATAAAAAATGTGGCAGCAAGGACAAAAACAAATCTTATTTTTTTCTCGTTCAAAGAAATCGAGCAAGGGAAGTTAAGTACCTTTTTAAAAGAAAGCTATCTTGAAACATTTGTTCTATCAAACGACACGTAACTCAAACCTGTCGGCGGTCTGGGGGGTTCATAACGGGGCCTCTTTTTCAGATATCATTTCAAATTAGTTCAAATTAGATCAAATACTTGAAACTTGAAACGTATTAATGTTAAAGGGTCTCTTTGTAATACTTAATGCCATCAATAGAATTAAGAATTTGCATGGTTCACAATAATACTTAACCCATTGCTTAGGATCCGGATCCATTGGATCCGAAACATTTTGGCTTCCTGGATCCGGATCCAAGGGGCAAAATATCAATCAAAAACTGCCAAAAAAAACTTACTCCCAAAACCCAAATCTGAACTATTGAAAGAGTGACTATAAAAATTTCCTGATTTCTGAATGGAAAAGAAATAAAACAGACATCGACATCGACATCGACATCGACATCGACATCGACATTGATATCGACAATAAATCAAGGGTCGCCTGAATATTCTGCCCCTTTAATCATCGATATATATTACATTATTATCTTGTATGTTCTAGACATTCAGTAGACTCTCCTTCTTGCAAAATATTATATAAAATGTTTCTGCACAAGTCAATTATATAAAATGTTTCTGCACAAATCAATTATATAAAATGTTTCTGCACAAATTAATTATATAAAATGTTTCTGCACAAATCAATTATATAAAATGTTTCTGTACAAATCAATTATATAAAATGTTTCTGCACAAATCAGTTATATAAAATGTTTCTGCACAAGTCCATTTTCCAGGATTCTCGACAGCCCCTGATGCCCCCTACACTCACTGGAAGCAAACTGTTTTCTACCTCAACGATTATATAACTTGCAAGAAGGTAATTAATAAACACAACCACTTTTTCATGTTTAAGAAGTATCCTCCCACAGCTCAGCAGAAATATTTTTTACAGTTTCTGAAGAATTTTAGGCATTTTTTAGGTTTTTATCAATGAAATAAGAAAAAAATTATTTCTGAAAATGGGTGAACATTTGCCATTTGATATTACTTTTTTCACGATTTTAATAGTTTCATAATCTTTGAGAATGCATTTTTTTTCCAGAGGGTTTTCATAAAAATTACCATATCTCCATAATGAAAATATACACCCCTGTTTTTTTCTTTTATTTAGTCTGTTGGAATTGGGAATAGATCTAGCTTTTCGATAGTTATTGAGAATATATTTTTTCCACTGTTGGGATCAGTGCTTAGAATTAGGATCCGTTGGATCCGGAAGATTTTGGCTACCTGGATCCGGATCCGCAAAAATATGCGGATCCACGAATCCTGATCCAAGGGGTAAAATATCAACCAAAAACTGCAAAAAAAAAAAACTTAATTAATTGATGAATACTCGATTCCTCGGTAAATACTCAATTAATTGGTGAATACTTAATTAATTGAGTAATATTCAATTAATTGTTTGAATGATCTTTGGATTAATTGATTAAAAAATCTTTTTTACAGGGTGACGTAGTAACTGGTAGACTAAGATTGAAACCTAACACGAGAAATATTCGGGATCTTGACATAGAGATAGATGTAGATTTCAAGGTATACTTAAACATAGAGATAGATGTAGATTTCAAGGTATACTTATACATAGAGATAGATGTAGATTTCAAGGTATACTTAAACATAGAGATAGATGTAGATTTCAAGGTATACTTAAACATAGAGATAGATGTAGATTTCAAGGTATACTTAAACATAGGGATAGATGTAGATCTAAAGGTATACCTAAACATAGAGATGATGTAGATTTCAAGGTATACCTAAACATAGAGATAGATGTAGATTTCAAGGTATACTTAAACATAGAGACAGATGTAGATTTCAAGATATACTCAAACATAGATATAGATGTAGATTTCAAGGTATACTTAAACATAGGGATAGATGTAGATCTCAAGGAATATATACAGGGAGATAAATTGGAGGTTGTTTGCATTTTCGATCATATAATATTTCAATAATTAACGGTGAATTTTAAACACGGTGTATCAAGTTTATTTATTTAAAAAAAAATTTTTATAGGGAGATCTGGGGGATCTGAAGGAAGAGAACAAATATAGAATGAGATAATTGTACCCTCATGTACCCTTTTGTACAAAGCAGTATTGAAAACCGTACGGTACACCATCTTTCGTTGCTCGGACTTGTTGTAATTTTGTTTTGTTGACGAAAAAGTTATTTGATACTAAATCATATTCATTGTATTAAATGTTTAGCTCGTACAAAAATATTTTTTTTAATCAAATTGGTCTGGACGTATTTTTAACGAAAAATAATAGAGAACAGTTCTAAAATTTTTGCCAAGTTTTTTATTTGAATTTCGTAGAGTTAGTTGACCTGTATTCGAATCATCATGAATTATACATTCTGTCTGTTCCTTAGTATTAGAAAATAAACCTTTTTTTAAACTCTTCGATTTTTCTTGATTTTTAAAAATTGGAACTAGATTCTTTAAAGTTGATATCGCATCTTCATATATATCACCGATTTAACACGAAAAATCCAATTTTGCGATAATGGTTTATCCTATTTTTTTCGCAAAAATGAACGAAATTTTCCCTTTTTTAAAGAAAATTCATTTTGTGACGGTTAAAAAGCTTAAGTGTAGCTTAAAAGCTTTAAAAATATGATTTTTTTAGAAAAACCGGTAGAAAAACTACTTGTTCTCCTTTATTTGGTTTCAGAGCAATCGTGATAATTATTTTTTACAGTTGGAACTTCTCACATCACAGACATCGTATGATAACCTCAAATAATGAAGAAAATAGTTTCGTATTACAGGAAAAATACTTAAGATTTAGGTCGAAACCCCCCAAGTTTGTTTCCTTAAGAGAACTGAGCAGTAAATACGTATATGTTGAGGATATTGCCATTTTGATATTTTGAAAAAAGATGTTTTCTGTCAGATTCTTTCTTGTTTTTGCCAAATAAATCCTGAAGTCTCTATTACAGAAATGTTGCAGACAAAATAAATAGATTGGGAAACGGGCATGGAATTCTGTAAATTGAGTGTTTTGAAACTACGTCAACTGTCGCTAAGTTTTTTGATTTACATCCTTTAAATTAAAAGAATTTTATTTCCTGGTCATTATTTGCATCATTAAATACTGTTCAATTTTCCTGGTCATCATTTGTATCATTAAATAGTGTGCAATTTTCCAAGTCATCATTTGTATCATTAAATACTGTTCAATTTTCCAAGTCATCATTTGTATCATTTTCCTGGTCATTATTTGCATCATTAAATACTGTTCAATTTTCCTGGTCATTATTTGCTCCATTAAATACTGTGCAATTTTCCCGGTCATTAGTTGCACCATTAAATACTGTGCAATTTTCCCGGTCATTATTTGCACCATTAAATACTGTGCAATTTTCCCGGTCATTATTTGCACCATTAAATACTGTGCAATTTTCCTGGTCATTATTTGCTCCATTAAATACTGAGCAATTTTCCAAGTCATTATTTGCACCATTAAATACTGTGCAATTTTCCTGGTCATTATTTGCTCCATTAAATACTGAGCAATTTTCCAAGTGATTATTTGTACCATTAAATACTGTGCAATTTTCCTGGTCATTATTTGCACCATTAAATACTGTGCAATTTTTCCGGTCATTATTTGCTCCATAAAATATTGTGCAATTATGGTGTTTACCATTATTTGCACACTGTGCAATTGTCAAAATGTTGAATTTTCTAATGTTTTCATATTTCTCAATTTGTATATCAAATTTAATACTTCTTATACCAACTGCAAGTTCGGCTTAATTGAAATGCATCTCTGCATAATTATTGATTAGGAGTAGGTATGGGCATTACTTTCACGATAATACGGTAAATTGAGACACTCTGTATAGTAATAATTAACTGTTAAAGGTTGGTACACGCCACTATAATCAAAATAAATTTAGATTCAATTTAAAGATAAAATTTTGAAAATTTATAGACAACTTAAATAAAGGTCAATAGTTGGGATGTTCTGTTTTATCCAATCCTGTCCATTTTAGGATTTTGTCCTAGTTACTGTACGCTTTTAGTACTAAGTTTTTTAATATCAAAAATATGGTTTGAAATCTCTTGCCCAACGAGCGGGGGAAGGCAGGCGGCCATGAGCCACCTCTATGTCCCCTTCCGTGCCACATATTAGCTTTTTTCTCTTCCGGCAGCCATGAGCCACCACTATTTCCCCTTCCGTGCCACATATTAGCTTTTTTCTCTTCCGGCAGCCATGAGCCACCACTATTTCCCCTTCCGTACCACCACATTTGACTCTTCCGGGCAAAACTACTTTTTTAAATGGTATATTTAGGGCCTTTAAAGTGTGATTTTAAAAAATCCAGCCGCGTCACGCAAATAAGCACAACTCAAACCATTTTTTCAATTCTACTTCAGATTATTATTTTGTGTGTTGAATTCTTAAACTGTTACAATGAAATTTTGACAAATTTGACCGAGTATTGCATCTTGAAATATCACTGCTGACTCATTATACTAAATCCATCTTAACTCATTAATTTCAACTTAATCCATGATTTAGAGCAACAACAAAAATCCCATCGAAAAAGACAAACCAAAGAAATCTATGGGAATAACAATGTTTAACCACAACTGAAAGGGTTTAATAAAAACAGCATTCCAAATATAAATTCCTAAAGTTAAAAGCCAAAAAGGTTTTGTTCCGGGATGCTAGTTGGATCGATCTGCTGAACTATCCAGAGATGTTTTCAAGGATGTACAGAGCTAGAAGGGCTGAAGCAAGTAATTACCCCTGCAGAAGAAATTCTGCGTCACATCAGTTTCCGAAATGTTTCCCGTTATAACCAATCTTTGTCTTTACTACCTGATAGTGGTAGCGTTTGATGCTTAAAACTAACAGGAATTATGGTTTGAAAGATCTCTAGTCTTTGATAGTGTCGCAAAGGATTTGAAAATCAGGTTTTTGGCAAAGACTAATTTCCTTTTTGCATGAGTACATGCAAGTATGGGAATGTCATAAAAAAATCTAAATTTATTTAAAACATTATTTCTAATTCAAAAATGTCTTAGTTTTTGTCATAAAAAAATCTAAATTTATTTAAAACATTATTTCTAATTCAAAAATGTCTTAGTTTTTGATCGTATATAATACGAATAAATCTTCACAAAATAATCCACAAAGAAATTCAAAGCTTAATCTTCTCCACCCTCCTTGCCAATTTGATCTGTTTGGCGATAGCGTTGAATAACCGGTTCCTTGCGCGGAGTGATTCCTGTGCCGCTCTATTCGCCTCATCCCACATCTGCTTATCCCATCCGCAGAGGGTCTTGACCATCTCCACCGAGGCGGCCTCGAAGCCTTCTCCGGCTAGATCAACATGTCGTTGGAGATAGAAACTCAGCCGAGCATGGTTCCCTCGCCAATCCTAGTCAGGGTTATGTCAATATATTTATTCTTTCTATATTGCTTACAGGGTGATTATAATGGTCGGCTTTTATATCAATACGATGAAGATGACTTTTCGATTAAAATTTTTGATTTTTAATAATCTTTTCAAATTACAAGTAAAAAAGCATGTCAGCTTCTCTTTGTTTCCATGTTCATGTGCATTAATGCTGTTTGAAAGCTTGGTAGAAATTAAAATTGAAAGCGGCAGTCGTCTTCATTGTATTGATATATACGACGACGACTGTACAAAATCTACTCAAGATATCAAAGCTTCAGTTTCGCTTTTAGATATGAAATCCATACACAATTCATAGTTTCAATCTTTCAGATACAAACAGCCTATCTTCCTCATGAAAATTACGATTTTAAACTTTTGAGGTCATATTTCTGTAAAATTTACTCCATGTTGATGCTACGTGAAGGAATTCCTTTATCTTTGTAATCTGATGGTACATACAGACTTTTTAAATTTAAACTTATATTATGTGATCTAACAGAATTCAAGGTTTGAAAACTAAGGTCTAAGAAATTTGGTTGCAAAGATTTCGTTGAAAATCAGGGGTTGTGACACAGAGTCTATTTTTGGACAATGTAGAAGTATAAAAGTTACTGAAAAATTCCCATTTTTATTAAGGCACCATAAAAAATCATTTAAATCTTTTAGACTCATTTATTTAAACTTTAAAATCCTTTGTTTCCATTTTATCTTATTAAAGGGGCTGTAAGAGTAATTTCCAGGGACCCAGGACCCTCATTAATGCATAGATGGCATTGCCCAATTTTCAGCCAACTATAAATACAAAACGTTACCTGTTGATCCAGTATTTGACTGAAGATTTGTGGTATTATGACCTCACGACTGAAAGCAAATGCTCCCGCGACAACATGAACCTTCCCGCTGCTAACAATCTCGTGCGTTGTTTTTAAATATTCCGCGACACCCTCCTCCAGCCGCGTGGAGTTAATGGCGTCCAATACTGACATTCCTTTCCTAATCAACTCAACGAAGTTTTCTACGTTAGATGTATCCACGTGCATCTGTTTCATAGCATCCAGATACATCTCAAAGTGAGAATGGGGTTTGTTATTCCAGTCCAGATCTGACTCTTCTAGCAGGACAAGATGATTGATCAACCTGCTCGGAGCTCAATATGGACTAGGAACCAGGGGTTATAAAAGGGATTGAGGAGTTAAACTTTTCATGTGAACTTTTATTATAAAATATTGTGTCCGATTCTAAATGGTAACTTTAAAAGCTTTGTGCAGCCCTTTTATGGTACCGAAAATTACTAAAATGTGCAGTCCTATCATGGTACTTGAAAGTACTAATATGTGCAGTCCTATTACTGTAAAGTACTAATATGCTGTAGTCCTATTATGGTACTGAAAAGTACTAATATGATGTAGCCCTATCATGGTTCTGGAAAGTACTAATATGCTGTAGTCCTATCATGTTACTTGAAAGTACTAGTATGCTGTAGTCCTATCATGGTACTGGAAAGTACTAATATGTTCAGTCCTATAATGGTACTGGAAAGTATTACTATTTGTTCAGTCCTATTGTGGTACTGGAAAGTACTAATATGTGCAGTCCTATTATGGTACTGAAAAGTAATAATATGTGCAGTCCTATCATGGTACTGGAAAGTACTAATATGTGCAGCCCTATCATGGTACAGAAAAGTACTAAAATGTGCAGTCCTATCATGGTACTTGAAAGTACTAATATGTGCAGTCCTATTACTGGAAAGTACTAATATGCTGTAGTCCTATCATGGTACTGAAAAGTACTAATATGATGTAGCCATATCATGGTTCTGGAAAGTACTAATATGCTGTAATCCTATCATGGTACTTGAAAGTACTAGTATGCTGTAGTCCTATCATGGTACTGGAAAGTACTAATATGTTCAGTCCTATTATGGTACTGGAAAGTACCACTATTTGTGCAGTCCTATTGTGGTACTATAAAGTACTATAATATGTGCAGTCCTATCATGGTACTGGAAAGTACTAATATGTTGTAGTCCTATCATGGTACTGGAAAGTACTAATATGCTATAGTCCTACCATGGTACTGGAAAGTACTAATATGCTGTAGTCCTATCATGGTACTTGTAAGTACTAATATGCTGTAGTCCTATCATGGTACTGAAAAGTACTAATATGTGCAGTCCTATTATGATTCTAGAAACATACTTCATGAAAGAATTATTTAATTTATATTTACTCAGATAATTTTTCTAAAACTTTATAAAAGAAAAGGTTAACTATGTCAGGCTAATTGATTCTGCGAAATCATCCGGATATTAAATTGTACCAAGCTTTACAATACCCAAACCAATTATAAACAATTACACAGACACTGTTACAGTGAGAAACCAAAAACTTTGGAACAACCGCGTTATTACTCATTTTTTACCTAAGAAATGTTGCAAACAATGTTTGTAATTTTTAGTGTTAACTATAGCGGATGTGGGTCTTAAAGTTTTCAGGTCACATTTTTAAAGAATGATAGGCTGGAGTAAAATATGTTATAAGTACTGATGTGTATCTTTTTGAGACATTTTTTTTTTCGAACTTTAAATTGTTTTACAAAAATGTGAGTAAGTTATTGATTAAATTTCAAAACAGTGTTCTCGATAAGCTTGCTTTAATTTTATTACGCGATTTTTTTCTCTGGTCAAAGATATTAACCAAAACGATTTTCCAAAATGAAAAAGATTTTCTAGTCATTTTGAAAAATTGTTTTGGTCAGAATAAAAATTGTGCATAATGTAATTTATAGTTGCACACTTGTCTAACATCCAATTTTGAAATAAGCTTCAAATCTCAAATTCTTGTTGAGTCTCTTAAAAGTGTAAAATCTTTAAATATTTAAAAACGGGGCCTCAAAACAATCCCCATCGGTAGTTAGAAAAGGAGAGTTGGATTGGGTTAAAGTAAGCGTGATGATTTTGAAACTACCCAATATTTCTTTGAAACCAGACGATTATAATTAGTTCAAATACACCTTAGGTCAGTTTCCATATGATCTCTATAAAGGCCAAATTTAAAAAATTTGAGCCGCGGCTCAAATATGGTTGGTTCCACTTAAAATGGTGTTCAATGTTTAAGATTTAAGCTGGCGTTCAATTGAAACCGGTATTTGGCAGATTTGAGACGCGGCTCAAATACATTAAATTTGGACTCTAGTTTTTGTATATATTGAGCACTGTTCCTGGTTATTTCTGGATGATCTAAAGGAACCCACGGAACAGATTCACAGGTTAAATGCTTCTGCAAACACTTCAGCATCGACAAAGAGTCCCACACCGCGTACACATGGAGTTGCATGAACACCTGCAAATATTTGTTTTTACAAGAAGTAAATATTGAACTTAAACAATATCATTAATGATTTTACAAAATGGTCTGAAATAATGGGCTAAGAATAAAACTAATCATGTGAGGCTGTTCAGGAAGATGAAGGGGGGAGGTCCACAACTTCGGTAGTAATAAGTTTCGTTATATACCCAATAAATGTCAAAACTGCGAAACCGATTAGGCCCAAATTTTTGTGGTAACTCACAGGTTTACGACCGTTCCATATTGAAAATACCTGTATTGCCTCCCTACTGTTAAGCATTGGGAAAAGTTTGTGCTGAGCTAGAGAATTCTGTATTGGAAGGATAAGCTCCCTGATGTTTGCCATAAACTCCTCGGGACCCCGCGTACGTAGCGTAGTAGGGATAGGAGTAATCTTGAGTGAGCTGGAGGATCCTGAAATATAGAAGAGTTCCATCTTTTTCTGAGGTTTACTTAGTCATCCATATATTGTATTATTATTTTACTGTAAATTGACAGAGCCCATTCTCTCCATAGAAAGTGGTCGTGTATTTCACGAACTTTGGGGGACGATATGTTGGACGCTAGATGTCTCGTGCTAAATTCTTATCTGATAGATAGATATTTCTCCGTACATTTGACGACCAATATAGGAGACGTCAAGTTGTCGACCAATGTAGTTTATGGAAGGAACGGCCTCAGGCAAGGAGAATTCTTTAAACTAAGATGTTATCAAAACAATACATGAGTCAACTTTTAAGTACATAAAACTTCTTATTGATAGCATAATGACACACTCATACTTTAAGGAACCAACACGTTTATTTAAAACATTAAAGGGATTTTCAATGGGAGACTGTTCAGCGGCAAGAGGTAGCGTCTTAGGATATATGAGATTAAAATGTTCACAAAGAACCTGTAAAATCATTCGTTGGGATGTTTAGAAAGATGAAAATTTCCCTGTATGATAATTGAAGGACTGCAGTATGGTTTTGGTGAATTATATTGGCGTACAAAGCCTAGGGGTGTCAGAAATAATTTTTTTTGCATATTTTTAAAAACTTCTATAAAACTCCCCCCCCGGCCCTGTTCTCACTAAGGTCAAATTACCTTTAAAAATTGTTGGAACCGGTTCTTTCATATTCTGTAGCATGGATAAGGATTCCTCCAGGTGTGACGTATCCCGGTCAGCTGGTGACGCAGAAATCACATATTCTCTAGAAATAAGAAATGCGCAAATTAGACGGTATTGTTAATACGCAAATTAAATAATATTTTGTTTGAGATGCGCAACACGCTCCAATGCTCAAATCATTGTACAAATGCGCAAATTTCAGTGGTTGTTTAAAACCGAATGTAAATTTTGTGCACTTTGATGATTAATATACATATTTCGATTGCGTGAAATGCGTAAATTTGATGCTTTTTGCGTATTGCGGAAGGAAAAAATCATGATATCGGCTGAAAACATTTTAATCCAATTATTAAAAGCCATTAAATTTCAAAAAAAATTGTTATACAATGTGCTTTAAATAACTAAATCGAATACAAAATTAAAAAATGTTAATAGTAATATATCAATTAAATTTTATGATTAGGCCATTAAAATGTTTGGAACTTTAAAATTTCAAAACAGCTAGTAGTTTTCAAAAAAATATTTTATTTTAAGGAAGAAGTACAATTGTATTTAAGAAATTACCTACCTGTTAAATCCACCATCTTTCCTCAGCAGATTAACCATATCAAACTTTTTGCTCGAAATAGATTTCCCTTTTTCGAGATCTAGGATTTTGGTAGAATTGTTTCTCAAGGTGAATACTACTGTCCGAAACATATTTGATTTATTATTAAAATAATAAATTAACAAAAATATTGTATTACTGCGTAAAGCATGTGATGCTGGAAACTGAAACTGAATATTGGATTGACGGCCCGCTGGTTTTCAAGTTGACCGCTGATGATCTGCACGCAGTTATTGCGTGGTCTTGCGCGCAATATGGGTATTTAGTTGGGGGAGGGGGTGGGGGAATTTCCATATTGATTACTGAAAGAAGAGTGCAAAATGGAATCCTTTAATTTTAGAGAGAAAAATTATGCTATGTTTATCATTTGCCTCTGTTCTTGAAGGAAAACTAAATTAGAATGTAAAATGTTAAATTGTTTTTCTTGTAAAACATGATTAAATTAGTTTAATGAAAATGCTTTTATTATTAATTTTTCTTCTCAATGGTTTTAAGGAAACCCTTTATCTTTGATATTATGATGAAAATCTGATGATAATAATATATAATAATGATAATAATTACAATAATAATAATTGCAATAATAGTAATGATAATGATATTAACAATAATGATAATAATAATGATATTAACAATAACAATAATAATCATAATAATATGATATATCTTTTTGTGATCTTTTTTATTTTAGGAAAAAAACAGAAGTTTTTCTATTGGTCTCTCTTGTGTATTAGTCGTTACAAGAGCTTGTTTAAATATTCCGAATTCAAATTTATTTTGAAAACTATTTCTCCAATTTATTGACAAATTCAATGCGTACATGTTTTTTTGCATACGCAAGTATTATCAATTGATAGGGTGATATATCGATCTATCTTCAGTGTATACTAGTTCCTAAAACTGGCGGATTTGTGTGAAAACGTTTACAGATTTGTTAAACTCCGTAAACAACTAAATTTCTGGTAAGTTATGGAAATACAAGTTAACAGGGTTACTCAAATATCATGTAAAGCTTGAGCCATTGACATTTTGGAATTTAGATAAAAATCACTTCTTTGGTAAATTCAAAAGGTTTTTCCTTGACATTATTAACCTTGATTTTCTTATAATATTACCATGAATTTTGAATCTTCTTGTCCTCTTGCAATTCATATTTATACAATGACAGTCCTTAGAATTGTAAGGTTTATGAATGATCAAAATTTCAAAAATTAGCCTCCAACCAAGTTCGATTGTCATTAAATTTTTTTAAATCCATGAAATTGTTTATAAAATCCTCGAACTTTTTTTTGATAATCTACATATTTATATACTTTGCTTGCCTACGTATATATACTATGCAAGCTACGTAAAACAATGTTCATAAATTAGTATATATAACTTATAAAGACTACTAGCTGAAGGGACCGGCGTTGCCCGAAGAAGAAAATGAAAAAAAATGTGAGAAACCTATTTCATCCCCCAGGCTATACCCATGAAGTGTCATAAGAAAATTTCAGCCCATTCGGTCCAGCCGCTTGGCCGGCCAGAGGGAACATATAAATATATTCGGTCCAGCCGCTTGGCCGGCCAGAGGGAACATATAAATATATTCGGTCCAGCCGCTTGGCCGGCCAGAGGGAACATATAAATATATTCGGTCCAGCCGCTTGGCCGGCCAGAGGGAACATATAAATTAATGTCTTGCTTTATTTTATAGATAAGTACGAATTCCTCACGTCAAACTAAAGTAGAATGGATGTCAGATCTTGTATGTTCACGTCAAACTAAAGTAGAATGGATGTCAGATCTTGTATGTTTTTCATCAGAACTCATCTTCTTGTTAAGCTAAGGAGAAGAACCGAAGTTAAAATACTACAATTAGTATCAATGCTACACAGACTCTACCATTATAAATGTTTGCAAATACTAATGCTAAAGATAAAACATTTTTAATGCAATTTTATAAAAAAAAAGCCTTGCGTATTTATTATGATTTCTTTTTAAATGTCATTCATACATAAACATTATGCATATATATAAATATATATATATTGTTAAATATAACATAAAAATTATAATTTTACAATAAAACACTTAAAATATAATCGGCTCATTGGGGCATACAGTCCTAATGAGCCGATTTTAAACACATTCAAATTTACGAAATACATTTTTAAGTCCATTTTCATCATGAAAATATTTTGAGAAGAATATATTGCGACAAAAACCAGTCTCCCCCCTGACCCCCTGATATGCACCTCTAAGGGGAGAGGAAAATAATTTAAATTTTTTACTTCACAAAAAGGGAATTTTTTTATGAACCTTTTTGTTTTAATTAATTTCGTTGAGTGTGAGGCATTGCTATACAAAACAATAATAATAATAATAATAACTATTTACTAATATTTCAGTGCATTATATTCCTGAAACTTGGTTCTTTCTTTGCTAAATTATTAATTACTAGGCTTTCAGGGCGCTTCGCGCCCATCTTCTATTTCAATTGTGAAAATAGTATACATTGTAAAACAAAAACAAATAAAAAATTTTATAAAAAAAATTCGTTAACTTTTAATATCTTCAAGATTTTATTTTGTTAGAGACAAATTTTTGAAAATTCGATCATGCGTAAAACTTCCACGCGAGATCCAAAAAAAATGTTGGCCCAATCGGTTCAGGGCCGTTTTGATTTTTATTGGATACAAACAGACAAACTAGGGTTTCAAATCGGAATTCCGTTGCGCGGAATCGCGCGCAATGGTTGCTTCCTCTTGCGCCATTTCATTGCGCGCAATTGCGCTAAAATTTCGATAAAAGGAAGCCATTACATATTCGGGGAATTGCGCGGAATTGCGTGCAATCAAATTGCTTTTCCATTTAAAAATCAATAATTTTAACTGTTCGACTTACAAATTTATGCAGCAGATTCAAGAATGGAAATATCTCTGTAGATATTAAAATAATCGAGGCCCGAGTTTCACTTGTTTCAACAGTTTTCAAATTTTTAAGTTTCTTGTAGTTTAGCTACTAATTAGCAATTTAATGTGATACATTTTTTATTTGTTCACATTGGATGAACATTAAATGGAAACTTTTTTTGGTTAAAATTGTAAGGTTCGTTTAATCAAAATTAGATATTTTGCTACAGTGAGAACCAGAAAACTATGGAACAAAAGGACAACATCACAGTGTACACTTGATGTTGTTACAAAGCATAACACATTTATTAGTATCTTATTAAATCTCTTATTCAGTGCAAACGTCGGACGCCACAAACGTCGGACAGTACAAACGTCGGACAGTAAAAACGTCGGACGCACAAACGTCGGACCAGTACAAACGTCAGACTAGTACAAACGTCAGACTGGTACAAACGTCGGACCATTACAAACTACGGACGGGTACATTTATAAGACAAAACGTCGGACTTGGTAGATTTTGAATGGACCATTGTTTTAAAAAATTTCAAACTATGAATTCTACAAGATCATACAGTTTAATCCCTATATCTTTGCAACCCGCTATTGTAGACCTTAGATATTTCAAACAATGAATTCTACAAGATCATACAGTTTAATCCCTATATCTTTGCAACCCGATGTTAGATGTTTCCAAGAACATTTCGCAGACTTATTGCTATATTTCCAGAGCTTTCTTTAACTACTTGTTTTCCTATTTCACGTACTCGTTTACTCAAAAGATCACTGTCATGTGTATGCTCTCCCAGGAAACTGATATTCTTGTCCTTCTCATTGTTTACAACTGCTCCTGCAGAACAAGAATTGTTTTTCCTTTGAATGCATTGGTAATAGTTTTTGTTGGGTTTCTTCTTTGTAACCCTGTATTCATACTGATTTGAATCAAGTAGGTGCCGTCCCCCCTGCTTGACCTCAATATAGTTAGCAGTCTCCTCGTCCATGTATCCAGACTTTGTGAGATTGTGAATTTTTAACAAAAAAATTGGGAATTTTTTTGAGAGAAAATTGCGAATGTACAAGAATTTCAATCTGAAAATTCAAATATATTTTTTCCTCCTTGGTCCGACGTTTTTCCTTATAAATGTACCCGTCCGACGTTTGTACTGGTCCGACGTTTGTACCAGTCTGACGTTTGTACTGGTCCGATGTTTGTACTGGTCCGACGTTTGTACTGTCCGACGTTTGTAAGTCTTATGTTTGTACCGTCCGACGTTTGTGGGTCCGACGTTTGTACTGGTACCTCTTATTCAGTTACATGGGTCTGCTTGAGTCTAAACTTTCGTTTTCCTATGCCAGAGTTTTCTGGTTATCATGCTGCAAATGAATATTATCACACTAAAGATTAAGCTTAAATTTAATATTCTTAGTATTTGAGACTGAAATGTTAGTGCAGTTCAGTTTCTTGTATGCCACTACCAAAGTTTAAATTGAATATTTTTTATATTATTTATTGCGTGCCATAAGGTTTAAATTGAATATTATCAAAAAATTGATACACAAACGCAAGAAAGTTGGACGGAATTGCGCGCAAGTAAAATCCACTTGCGTTGGAAACTCTAAGACAAACAAATAAACAGACAGACAAACAAAGTAAATATATGGAAGCCATTAAAAGGCATATACAAGGCAGTATGGTCATATTTAAGGTTTCAGGTCTTCTTTACATTCTCATCCTTTGTGAGTAACCCTGTAGATTCGATTGGCAAAATTATCTTCGAACTCTACTAACTGAACACCATAGATTCAGTGGAAGTAAATATTTCCATTTACTGATAGCGCCGATTGAAGGATTCATAACTCTGATTGGATAATGAGATAGATTGAAAGATAGATGTTACCGCCATACCATTTCTATTGGTTCAGAATAGACAACAAACACATGGCTGAACCCTGATTGGATCAGGAGCTAATGGACTAGGCACACTAGAGTGCGAAATCAATGGATATAATGAAAAACATTTTTACAAAGATATGTATTTAACAGAATTTTCAGTAAATGATAAAGAAATATAAAGAAATATAATAATAGAACATTTGAATATATTAGTACGATTTTCCTGTATGTATTTGGCGAATTTTCAAAATTCTAAAATTCAAAAGAATTCTACTGAAACATTCGCACAATCTGGTAGGCTATAATACAGCCTAATATTGTAAAATATCTTTTAAAGTCAGATTTAAGTTTTTCAAAAGAAATTATATATTTTCCAATTATCATCACATCTGCTTGTTTTTATTATTCATTATTTATTTTTTCTACAAAACAGCAAGTACACATTTTAAGTTTTATATGAGACTAGCTGAATTGCCCGGTGTTGCCAGTGGAATAAAAAAATTGAATTTTCTTTAGCCTTTGTTACCCGCGGGATACCCCTGGGTTCCCTATAAAAAATGTCAGCCCATTCGGTCCAGCCGTTTAGGGAACATATATACAAATATTTTTTCAGCAAATACCGCAACCAATCTGAAAACGACTATATCCCACACAAGACTGAGAATCTCAGGTTTTGCTGCTACTATAATTTTTTCATTTTCCATTTTAAATAGATATTATTAATAACATGATTACATATAGTCCGTATAGTCCGTATTACGTCACTAGAACTTCGGCCAATGGCAGTGCACTTTACAGGTCTAGGGGGGGGGGGGGGGATAAGCACTTGCTTTTTAAAATAATAATAATAATAATAAATCTTCAGGTTTTAATTTAAACCATTCCGTATTTTAGGTAAACTCTCGCGGATGGATAGATATCTAAGTATTACGATCTAGTTTTCTTATTTACTAATATTAAAGCTCTATTTGGTTCACTTTAGTGTCAATGTCACAGACTGCTTTTCTCCTTTCACAGGGTGGGCTACGTAGGCCTTGATTGACCCAGCTCGACATGCTACGTTTTTACGATAGGTTTTAGAATGCCACACTTCTTAATATAATACTCATTCAGAGGTTAAGTTTTACAACTTTTCAAGAAATACTCCAATTTTAAACATGAAACATAACAT